GGAAATGTCTAAAGTTTAAGGTTAAACTTAATAATTTAAATGAGTCATGCCTGAGGAATTGTGCTGTACCGTGGCCTGAATCTTCAGCTAATTAATAATATTGAGATGGTAATTCAATTGGGAAGAAGCTCTGTCAACAGTCTAGACTACCTGCCTTTACTGCCTACTGGTTTGTTTTTGAAATGGATCAAGCCCTATCAGTAAAGCTGGTCAAAACCTAAAAGAAAATCATCATCATCATCATACCAATTGTGTATCCAGTGAAGAAGGAAGGCCTCTTCTGCATGTTTTCAATCCATACTGTCCTGAATTTTCTCTTGCCAGTTGGGTCCACAATACTTGCTGGTGTTGCTGATCCATCTTGTTTTAGTTCTCTTTCATGGACACTTTTTCTCAAGTGGGATCAGGGATGGTTTGCTGCTGGTTTTACTATCGGTTTGCAACCCTTGCGCGTGCACTGCATGCGCATGCACAGAGCAATTTACAGTGAACTGCACACGCGCAGTCACTAAAATCCAACATGGTGGCGATTTCAGCGGTGATAAGGGAACCGGTTCAGGAGGGTAAGAGGGGTGGGTCATTGCGGTTCTGTGACCCAGGCCTGAATTTCACTACTGGTTCGACTGAACCGGGCCGAACCGGCAGCAACCCATCTCTTAGTGGGCTCCATTCTAAGACTGCCTTGGTCCACCTGTCATCAGTTCTTCTTGTTATGTAACTAACCCATTTCCAATTCTTTTGTTCTCTTGATAATATTGTATACTTTTCTTTGTTGTCTAATTCATGTACAGGTCTTTCTATTTTGTCTTGTAATACCGAGCATGTATCTTTCAATAATTTTCTATATATTTCTGCTTACTACCGAAGGATGATTTCTTTATTTTTATAATCCAATTTATAAAGGCACCCATCTCATCAAAGGTGACTTGAAGCTTTTAGTTTCCCTTCAAATTGATATAGAATTGGTGACTATGAAAAAGAAAAGTAATTTTCCTCAGGTTTTCAATGTCCTCCTCTAATTCAAGAGAGGATAGTTTGGTATCCACATCCTCACCGTTTTGACATCAAGTAAAAAATTATTTCTTTTTCGCTCCTAATTTTTTAATATCAGCAGCATTCCCATTTCTCATTATAAGACGGTTTGCTGTTCTTCTGTGTTTAATATTCTTTCTAGTGCGGGTATTTTAAGTTTCCTGGGAAATATATAAATTAGTTTAAAAGATGTTGTAAAGAAACTAAATAAGCAATTAAAAACATTATATCTCACACAATAAAGAGATACAATCAAACATGAGTAAAAAAAGAATAAATAGAGCACAAAATCACAATAATAAAAGTGGCAATAAAAGAATGTGAAATTACAAAATAACATTTTTTCCAGATAGCAGGAGAACAAAAAGGTCTACATTTTTTTTGTTTCTTTCTTTCTTTGGTTTTTTTTTTTACCCAGGATAACTGAGATAGCCTTGATTTGGAAGCAATGATCTCACTTGTACAAACACTTTATCAGGGCAGTATAAGAAAATAACATATGATCATAATCAAAGAATATTCAGGAATACAGTAATACCAAAAAAGATCTTACATCCAGGAGTAGGCTGTTGCGGGTTTGCATGGGTTCAGGAGAACCTCTAGCTAAGAATCTGCCCAGTTTGGAGACCCTGAAAATCCCACCCCTGGCTGGCCCCACCCACCCTGCCCCTCTACTCCCAGGAGTCCCCATGCTGCCCATTTTGGATGCCAGGTAAGTACAGGTCCCACATAGAGGCTCAGGGAGGGTGAAAAATGAGCCTCCTGGAAGGCCTGAAACAGGCCCATTTCTGGTCTCCAGAGGCCAGGGGAGGCCATTTTCGCCCTCCCAGAGGTTCAAGGAAAGCCTCTGGAGCCCAGGGAGGGCAGAAACGCCCCCCCCCCACTCTAGTTCAGGAGGCCGACTAGACCATACCAACCATGGTAACGCCCACCCAGCAACTGGGCAGAGAACCCATTGTTAAAAATTTTGAAGCCCATCCCTGCTTACATCCTTACCTCATCTCTGATAATCAGAGAACTCCAAAGAGATGAAGGCAAACAGATCCTTTCAAAGCCAGCAAGTATGCAGCACTCTCTTGGTTAAGTCTGCATTGAAGTTTCATCCCATAGGGTTTTCTGACTTGCTTATATAAGCTTCAAAACATAGTTAAGTATACCTGCTTTTCACTGGCCTCATCTCACAGGAGTTTATGAAGGGCAAAGAGGGTGAAATCATCAAGGTTAAGAAGTATCAGCACGTAAAGGTTTTTTGACAAAAGATGGGAAAGATCATCCTATTCTACAAAAGTAGAGGATAGGACAAAAGAAACCAAGTGCAGTATAAACTTTTAGTGACTAAAATAAATGGTGGCTTAGTTTCATATTATGTAAGTTCAAGTATTCAAGTATTACATGAGAATACAGGTAGTCCTGTATTTATGACCACAATTGAGCCCAAATTTTCTGTTGCTAATTGAGACAGTTGTTAAGTGAACTTTGCTCCATTCTACAACCTTTCTTGAGACAGCTGTTAAATGAATAACTGCAGTTGCTAAGTTAATAACATATTAACTTTGTTTGTCAAAAGGTCACAAAAGGTGATTATGTGACCCTGGGACACTGCAACTGTTATAAATATGAATCATAAATATGGGGGAGTGGGATGGTTGGGAAAAGGAGAGGGAACCCCCCTCCCCAAAAAATATTAGGTATGGCTACAAATTTAAGCCCTCCCCCACTTTTAATATCTTGTTGCACCCACCACATTAATATTTTTATCTCCATTTCATGAATGCCCCCATTTAGAAGATTATAATGCTATTAAAACTTCCATGATTAAAAAATAATAATCTGCAATTAGAAAAAAATATAAGGCTTAAAAACATAAAAATCCTAGCAGCAACTAAACAAAAACCTTTTTAAAAATTGGGATCAATTAATAATCAAAGTCTCTCTTAAATAATTTTATTTTGAATATATTTCTCGAACTTAATAAGGTAAGGGGTTACAATGGTGGTGCTACAATAAAAAATGGATCTCCGCTTCCCTTACTTCATGACCATGGGGAATTATTAGCAGGTAATCTCAGGTGCTCTTCTCTATCAGGTTAAAAAAAATGACATCAAAGGAGGTAGGAGATCCTCTCTGAAGAAGTCATTGCATAGATATGATGCTCCCAGAAAAGACTGCTTTTCTTAGGCCACCATAAACCTTTACAGATATTCTTCGACTTACATTTAGTGACCATTCCAAGTTACAACATCACTGGAAAAGTGACTTATGACTGTTTTCCACACACTTATGACCACTGTAGCATCCCCGTGATCACGTGACTTAAATTCCGATGTTTGACAACTGACTCACATTTATGACGGTTGCAGTGTCATATGATTGCCTTTTGTGACCTGATAAGCAAAGACAATGAGGAAACCAGATTCACTTAACAATCATGTTACTAATTTAACACCAATAGTGATTCACTTAGCAAACATGGCAAGAAACGTTGCAAAATGGGACATAACTTGCTCAACAAATTTCTCACTTAACCACATAAATAAGAAGGCAGAGAAGGGAGGTTGAGAAGATAGAAGGAGCAAGGTTGTTGCAAAATAAGATGGAGGCATGGGGTGGCAAGAAAGTGACCCAAACTGAAATATATATATATATATATATATATATATATATATATATA